GCAAAATCAGGAGATGGCAAGATTTGAATATAGCCATTTTTTCATTTTTTTTTTTTTTAGTTAATAAAGATTTTTTTTTAAATTCATCAGTGTTTTCCCATCCATTCTCATCCTAGTTAGACTATTCTAAAAAGAAGTAAAATGTACACGGCTGTAGATTAGAGGAGTCTCTTTGTGATACTATTCATTCTCTGTTCTGACAGAGAAGGCATTGTTTGCTCACTGTAATAGGCTTGGCAGCCAAATAAGGTAGAGATCTGTGCTGTGCATACAGAATCAGAAAATAGCAGAGCAGGCAAGAATTTCAAAATTCCAAGAACTGGATTAACTACAAGAAGGAGTTTTATAATGTGCTGTTAATAGATTTTCATGGTGCCTTCTATAGAATAGAAATGTGTTCCTGGGGGGAGAAACCTTTTTAATTGAAGATAATATTTTCACTCATATGGTAACACATTACTTACTGCTGTTAATCAGTGATTAATTAAAAATGCACACAATAGAAACAAAATAGGAGTTCAGCATTCTTTAGAGGAATAAGCAGTTTAGAATGAGCATTAGTGGTCTTTCTTCATCTTACAGTTATTTAAGTTTGTCTGTTCCCTTTTATATGCGTGTAGATCCTATTACCGTTAATGAGAAAATCGGCATGTGCTCCCAACAGAGGAAGAAGAGAACATTTAGTATCTTTTAGTCTTCATTTTTCAGCCAGTAGCTACTGTATGTATGCAACGTTGCTTGGATTTTGCTAGTATAGATGCATTAACATACAGCTACTAGACAGGATAAATACCTCTGCACATTACCAGCTCTTTAACTCTTGGGTAATCCCTGTTGTGTAAAACATTCTACACTGTGGTGAAAAATTAACATTTGTTCCACGTAGCACAGCAGAAAGAAAAAACATCTTGTGTTTATTGAGCAATATTTCTTTTGGCATTTTGTTATTACTAGACTACAAACTGTGGTAAGCAGATTTTTATGTTGTAATACAACTATATTTCTCCTGTGATCTTACCAGTGAAATTTTGTTGTACTGTTTCTACTATTTTATTTTTCTCCTTCTATACTGTCTAAGTAGCAACAGGTCTTGTGGTTGTTTTTAGTTTCATAGTTTCTAGGGTCAGAAGGGACCTGAGC